AAGGAAGGAAGGAAGAAAGAAAGAAAGAAAGAAAGAAAGAAAGAAAGAAAGAAAGAAAGAAAGAAAGAAAGAAAGAAAGAAAGAAAGAAAGAAGGAGATTAGGACTGATTTCCAAGGAAACAACACTTAAGAAAGGGACAAAGAAAGAGGAAACTATTTAAGGAAATAAGAATAAACAGTCCCAAGAAGGTAAGGAAAAGGAGATCTAAAATGTCAAATGCTACAAAAAGATTGATTATAATTCAAAGCTGTTATTGCATTGGATTATGGGGAGTCACTGGTGATGTTGGCAAGAGTGGACAGTGGTGAGGTGGCTGAAGACTTAGCAGGGAAGGAAAGAAGGAGGCACAGTGGAGAAAACCTTTTAGAAAGACTGATGCAGTTGAGAGCCATACACGGGGCGGGTCCACAGAAAGCAGGAGCTGGCCACCGAGGCCCAGCCCACAGGGAATATACTCAAGGTTATTCAGGTGACCTTAACCTGAGAAAATTCAAGGGCACGGGCAACACAGTGAGTCTAAATTTTCACAGATGCAATAGCTCCAATTCAAACAATACTTTGCTTAAAAGTCAAAGACTCCTGGCGCTACTTCTGCTCTGGATAGAAAGCTGTCTTTTTCCTGAAGAGAAGTGATGCAGAAAAGAACTCTTGGGAGAAAGCCAAATACTCACATATTCATGGGGAAAGAAAATGGCAACACAGTAAAGCCAATCATTTGGAAAATTTTCCACATAAATACTTTTAGTCATTTGAGGTAGCAGATTTTCTCCAAATTAAACTGTTGCTATGAAAGTCAATGTCAGGAAATGGCTAAACTCAATAGTTTGAAGCTGTGCACTGAATCCCCAAACAGGAGCCTTGCATTCATTTCTCACTCTATTTTACGCTCCCTGAGTCCACAAAGGTGGAAAGTGCCGCAAAAGAGGCATTTGCAGCTTCTCTTGGGGGAGGAGAAGCATCGTATTGTTCACAAGCAACAGCTGCAGCCGAGTCAGGCCGAGCATTAACAATAATCTGAGAAGGACTGGAAGCTTCCAGGCCCTTGAGAGGTTGCAGGGATGGTAAGCTTTCCTGTAGAAGTAGGGAATCCGTGTGTCATTGAGGAGACTTGACTAGGCACTGCACTCTAAGAAGTGAGCGGATCTCAAGGTGCAGCAACACCTGGTGTCAGTGAGCCCTCAGGAAGACTGAGGCAAGCTTCTATGTGAAAATCTAGGTCTTCCTCCTGCCTGGAATCAGGGGGTAACTGCACTCTAAACACCTATGGCAAACAAGGGGGGAAGGCTTGCCAAGAAGGGCACACAGCGGCAAGCACTTCAATTAAGAAACAAGAACAGGGGCTGGCGAGATGACTCAGAGGTTCAGAGCACTGGCAGCTCTTCCAGAGGTCCTGAGTTCAATTCC